CGGTTAAGCGGCCATTTGGGGATCGGCTGTTGCATTTTCGATGGATGGCATGGCCTGTGCGACACGCAGGTGCCTCCTTAGCACTTCTGAAAGACTTGGGCCGCTATGCTAACTATTTTCAAGTAGTGTTAAAAGTTTGTTCCTAAGGTAATATGACTTTAACGGGCAAAATAATCATTAAATAATTAAGGAACAGAAAAAATCTTGCTATTTAATTAAGCGAGGGACAAAAATGCTAAATAGCGCATTGGCGACGGATATGTAATGAAGCGATAGCAACCTTTCCGTTGGTGAGTCGAGAGTTGGCTCCTGAAGCTGAAATAGGGTCTTTGTGGGTATTCTTTTCATCCTCCCTATGACATGGCACTCTAGTCAAGTCAATTTGTCGTCGGGCCATTGATTCTCCCACGGATTTTTGATACACCTTACATCCCACAACAAATTCAGAGAGGACTTCATTGATTACAGCGGTAAGGAGACTCATTCATGTTTGATACTCTCGACACAGAATATTATTTGGTTGATTCGTATTTCATTAAATGGCTATAGTTTTAGACGGATGTTCCTGCAAACATCAAATGGCATTTAAATTGTGTTAAAAAGAGAAGTTTGGATTCACTTTTGCGTCATGTCTTGGACAAATTGCACGCATTATCTTCTCAACTTGTAAATTTTGTCCCCTTTTGACTAAATCATTGATAAAATTGAAGTAAAGCCCTCTTCTGTGCTTTTGAAAATCAAGTCCTTTTAAGTTAAGTCAAAAAAGTGGAGCAATACAATTAGACGTGTCTGACTGATTAATGGGCCTTAATTAGATAAGTTGAAGAAAATTGTTTGCTCAAGTTACTCTCCAAAAAAATGTTTTATCCTTGCCACCAAGTTTATCTCAAACTCTGCCTCAGGTATATCTGTCTTCTTTTCAGTCTTGTATGTAGAATCAACTAACTGATGTGTCAAATTGTCAACAAAGAAATATGAAAACAGGAAGCTGTGGTATCGATTACCGCAGCAAATGGTACCGAGGGAAATAGCTGCCATCGCGGATGATTCCGAGCAAAAAAATAAAAGAAGATAGGAAATAAGATAAGAGACTTTTGATAGGCTCAAATAGCGCTCTGTATGGTTTTTTGCCTATCTGATTTTTACCGTAAAAGTATGTACTCCTACCATCCATATGACTAGACGGTGGTTCAGGCTTACCGTTTGAGGTAATGTAATTTTTCTCATTTGACCTCAGTCGGTAAGCATTATTTAACACTTTGTATGAATTAGATTTCCGAGGAAATAAGTAACTGTTGAAATTTCTAGTAGGTAGCATATGCGAATGTTTGAACCTCCCTTTCTGTAAAAACGAAATCCGAATTGCAGGACCAGATAAATATCATTCAATAGGGGAATTTCTTAATAAGGCATGCTGGGTAATCATGAAGAGGTGTGCAACTATGGTGTCGGTAATGAAAGACGAAACTATGAAATTAAATAATGAACTGATTTAGGCTTTAAATAATCTGACATTTGAGATGTAAAATCAAGAGAAAGAAGAAAGGCTTAGGTCGGTTAGTGTGAATTGTTGTCTTTGATCTTTTGTCATTATGCTATAGCGTTAGAGTCTGCAATCAGAAGCGGTATGAGCGAAGCGCAATGCTGCCGAGATGGAAAACAGAACCACGGTGATTGAACAGCTTGCATAGCTAAATGTACAATTAGAACAAATTTAAGGCTATTCTCCAACTTCCGCACTGTCTATCATAGCACACTGGGTGCCTTAAAGTACCACCTTCAAATCAGAAAAGAAGGTAGTAAGCTTAACTTCAGGACAAAGAAGAGAAATGACGCTTAACGGTCAGTAGGATATCTCGCCAACTCTGTCAAGTTGAGCTTTGTATCCACCTTAAGACTTCATTGTGGAGATTTGCAGACGCTAGGCTGCTCCAGACCACTAATGTGCCTCGTGCATTTCGCTTTTCCACCTCTTCGTAGTCACCAACCAGTCTAGTTATCCACACGGCATCTATTTTGCCACTAGAAACCTACAAGAGGTGGTGTTTGTTTGCATGGCCTTTGTAGTAGATACAAATCTGTGGGTGCGTCAGTTGTCAATTGCTTTCCTGCAATGCATGAGACTGGAATAAATCCCATACAGTAAGTAACTTTGATAAGTCTTTTGGCATATGTCTCAGCTGAATCATTCATCGTTCCTTTTGTAGTGTTTATCTTTGAGGTTTACCTGATTAAATCAGGATTCTTATTCATTTTAACAGCTTCTACCTATTACAGCCATTACAGATGCACAAAAGAACAGGCAGGCTAGTAAGGGCAATGGCACAAGCGAAATGACATACCATCGAAATGCAACCTAAAGCCGACGAAAGTAAAGGTTCAGAGCAATTAAATGCAGATTTATAGCATACTTCTTGAAGCAAATTATCGCGATATTTCTTGCAAATGGTACCCACGCATAATTTAAGTCGTCATAAAACTAGCTTATACTTTGTTTTAAGAAATATTCGCTAATTTATGTGCAGATGTATTTTTTTGTAACAATTATTTTGTGTGATTTGACTTGAATGCTCTGCCTTAACTAAGTGTATTCTAATTAAAAATCCACTGAGCATGTAAACTTTTGCAGGGGTAGGCAAAATTAGCGGAACTATTCAGCCTCGGGGCTACTATGTTTTCAAAGAAGGGGTAATGGATCTTGATTAGCAACGTGGAGGTACAATTATTTCTGGTGCTTCCGATCACATTACAGAAGTTGCAAGAATTTAAAATAAGTATGCGAGGAAAGGTTAAATAAGTTTGTAACATAAGTTTGCCATATTTTGTTTGACTTAAAATAATGTAAATGCTGACTTCTTTGTGAAGAATATTTGTTGAATTGGCACTCAAACCAGTTCTAATTAACGATAGTCTAGAAATAAGTTTCGCTTTCCGCATCAGACAATTACATTTCTACCATATCTTTTATCCATAAGCTTTTTGATTAAAAAGGATTTCGTTGAATTGTGGTGCCGCGCCTCTAGTCATTCTGACGCTCAAGGCGGTTGAAAGACAACTAGCATGGCTTAAGAAACAATGTGTTTGCCCCACAGTTTGAACTTCATCTTTTAGGCCAGTGCTCTTACGACAAAAGATCGAAATTTGAGATGTTAGGCACATCTCTAACCTCCCTTTTCCCTACCTCTTATTTCCAACGGGGACG